GAGATATGCACGTACATACGTATTACGTATTTTATGTATTTGATAACCTTTTTTTTTTTTTCATTCTTATATACTATTATATTTCACAGTTCGTTCAATATTATTATCAAAATCCATAAATCCAAAAATTTGTTCAAAAATTATGACTCTTTTATCATCTCACCAATCATTAACAAATTTTGCTTGTGAAGAAAGATTATGCCCAGTAGGAACTTGGGCTGGTCGTGTCGGTGAAGGCATATGTCAAGATTTTTGCTCTACTTTACACACATTACGTGATACTCTTAGTGATGTAATAGAATCTGAGGGCGTTATTGGGGAAAAAGGTGAAAAATTTGTTTATGACGATTTGGTAAAAGGTTTTGTTGATGAGTGTAATGAGTTCAAAGCAAATTTTAGGCATTGTAGGTTTTATGCTCAAAAAATCTGATGCGTTTTTAAGGTGTAATGGTTTGCAACTGTGCAGTGCAATGCAATGAGGGTTTTAAAATGTACATTTGTTCTATACTTATTTAACATTTATTATTATTATTATTATTATTATTATTATTATTATGAGCTTTCACTTCCTTTTTTTTTTTATATAGGTGAATACGTAGTATTAATTAACATTACTCATTCTTTATGAACACTTTTTTTTTGAGAAACTTTTTTCCTCAAAATACCGACGAACCAAAAGCAAAATTATCCTTTAAAATAATTCTTAAAAATCATCAATTACCGAAAACAAAAAAAAAGCAAGAAATCAAACGTTTTCTTGTTAATTATAATTCATCCTTTTTAGTAAGATTTATTTTTTTTTATTAATGTATTTACATGTATATTTACATGTAAAGATTTCTATAAAAACATTTGAATATTGCTATTTATATAGCTATTTTCATTACATGAGTACACGGGCGTCGTGTAGAAAATTAAAAACACTAAAATACAGACATTTTTTTTTTCTTATAAAACAATTAAAAATTTTTTTTTCTGTATAAAGAAAGAAAACATTCATATACACTTTTTTATAATAAATAAAAAAAATTTTATACCAGATATAATATGAAATCTCGATCTTGCTTTAATACGTGAACTTTTGGTTGTTATTGTTTTTTAAAAAGAAATCTATAAATCTATAATATCTATAATGCATTTACTTTATTGGATTTGGCGCAAACCGAAAATCTTTTAATACGTAGTAGACTAAAAAAAGTTTTTGGGCGTGATATGCATGGTATATCAGTTCATAAAAAACAAATTTGATAGATCTCAAAAGCATTATGTATTGTAATTTATAACGTGTTATTCAAATATTTGGGGTATTTTTAATGCTCTGGTTACCGGGTATATATTATTCGTGTAATTATTTATTTATGTACCAATACTGATGTTTCGGAAATTATTTAATTTCTCGGGTTATAAATTTCTTTGTCGGGTAATTAATTGTTGGTATAGTACGTACGTACGTACATGAAAAGATCTTGGAGATATGCACGTACATACGTATTACGTATTTTATGTATTTGATAACCTTTTTTTTTTTTTTTAATCAAACTAATTAATTATTTGAAAAATAATAATAGACTTAATTTTATTGTTTATTCACCTTTTTTTTTTTTTTTTTTACTTGTTCAACAATCTGATTCGAAACTATTTCTAAAAAAAGAAAAAAAAAAATACTTGATAAAATACGTACATACA